CTCTAGTGAAGGCCCTCATCACCTCAGGCCTGGACCACTGCAATAACCAGTTGGTGGGTCTACCTGCCTCAGGTGTTTCCCCATCCCAACTCATCCTCTATTCAGCCACCAAAGTGATTTTCATACAGCACAGGTCTGAGTATGTTACTCCTCAGTGTAGTAGCTTCCTATGGCCTCTAGAATGAAATACAAAATGCTGATGGCATTCAAAGATCTTCATCACCTAGCCCCCTCTTAACCTTTCCAGTCTTTTTACATCTTAGTCCCTTACTCTGATCCAGCTACACTGGCCTCCTTGCTGTTCTGTGAGCAAGACACTCACATCTCTTTGGCGCCAGGCATTTTCTCTGGACTGTCCCCCATGCCTAGAATGCTTTCCCTCCTCAACTCTGTCTATTGACTTCTCTGGCCTTTTTAAAGTTCCAACTAAAATTCCACCTTTTAAAAGAGGGCTTTCCCAACCCCTCTTAATTTTAGTGCCTTCTCTCTATGAATGATTTCCTATTTATCTTGCATGTAACTTGCTTTGTATATATTTGTATGGTAGATTGTAAGCTCTTTGAGGGCATGGACTGTCTTCCTCCTTTTGTATCCCCAGAGTTTAGCACAGTGCCTGAAGCAGAGTAGGTGCTAAATAAACGTTTACTGAAGAGTAGGTGTTAAATAAATGTCTATTGATTGCTTGACTGATCAGCACCCTGCACCTCCTCTGATTGAAGAGAGGAGCCATAAGCTCCTCCATTGAAGGAGGGGACAGGATAGACATCTCAGATATCTCTTCATTTATAATCTATCTGAACTAATTTTGGACTTTTCGGACTTCTTTGATCAGCAACATTCATTTTGAATTTCTTTAGGTTCTTCACTATGCCCCCATGCTGGGAACCTCCACCCCCCACTTTTCAGCTCTCTTTTGTGCATTGTCTTCCCCTGTTATATATCCTTGAGGGCAGGGACTGACTTTCTGTTTTGTTTAGTTTTTTTGTTTGTTTGTTTTTGCTGAGGCAATTGGGGTTAAGTGACTTGCCCAGAGTCACACAGCTAGTGAGTGTTATGTGTGTGAGTATTTGAACTCAGCTCCTTATGATTCCAGGGCCTGTGCTCTATCCACTGCACCACCTACCTGCCCCAGGGACTATCTTTCTTTTTTTAGTATTTGTAACCCTAGCACTTAGCACAGAACTTGGCACACAGTAAGCACGTAATAAATGTTTACTGACTATTCATCAGAGACTACAGCTCAAGAGAGGGATTAGAGCAGGAAATTATATCTGGGAATCATCTGTGGAGAAATGATTGATCCCATGGGAACTGATGAGGTCCCCTAAAGGGAGAAGAGCCTTGGAGGACCCCCAAATTTAGTGGGTGTGGCCTGGATGAAGATTGAGCAAAAGAGATTGAGGAGTGAATGGTTAGACATATTGGAAAAAAACCTGGAAAGGGCAATGTCACTAAAACTTAGAAAGGAGAGAGTATCCAGGAGAAGGTGACTGATAGTGTCGAAAGTTGCAGAGAGGTCAAAAAGGATAAAGATTAAGAAAAGACTATTATATTTGGCAATTAAGAGAACACATAATTAAAGAGAAAGCAGTTTCAGTGATGAGGTCAGAAGCTAAATTGCCAAGGATTTAAATGTGAGAGGAGAGGATATGGAAGCATTTAGTAAAAACAGCTTTCTCAAGCAATTTAACAGTAACAATTGCTAATGGGAATGTTGGATCAAGTAAGGGTTTTTTGAGGATGGGGGAAATATAGCAGCAGGTAAAAAGTCAGTTGAGAATGAGAGATTAAAGATTAGAGTGGGAATGATAGAGGGGGAATCTGTTGGAGAAGACAGGAAGGAATAGGTTATTGTGTGCATATTGAGAGGTTTGTCTTGGCAAGGAGAAGGGCCATTTCTTCTTATGAGAAAGAGATAAAAGAAGGAGATAGTGGGGAAAGCTGAGTGATGTGAGATGCAGCAAAGTCAATATCCTGTGATCTCTTCAAATTGATTGGAACTCATTAAATTGATCAAAGACTTCCTGATCAACCAATCCTATTACATGATGTTGGCGTCAGATTTTGGAGTGTCTTATATTCCAGCCTGTGGAATTTTTATTTTACCATAGAGGGAACAGAGAGCACTAAAAGGTTTTAAACAGACCAGGCCCAAGATTATTTTGGCATTTGTGTGGAGAATGGATTGGAGAGGGAAGCGACTTGAAGTAGGTACACCACTTTAGAGGCTATTACAATATTTCAGAGATGGGATCCTGAACTAGAGCGGTGACTATATGAATGGAGAGATGGGAACTGATTGACCAAAGAAATTATGTGGAAGACTTTGCAACTGTCTAACTAAGGCTATCACCTTCTACCCCTGCCCTGCAGTGAGAAGAAAAAACTGAGGATGACTCCAAGGTTATGCTTGGGTACGTATAGAAACACGTTGGTATGTTGGACCAAATCAGAGAAGTTTGTTGAAGTCCCATTGCTCTTTGAAGTTCAACTCAAATACCACCTTTGGTATTTGAAGCTTTCCCTCATTCCAGCTCCATAAACACCCTTCTTGTTCAAACTTCACATAGAACTTTGTTTGCACTTTCTGGTGCTCTAATCATGAGCATGCTTAACACGATAAGCAATATAAGCAGGGTGTTAGGTGCTGGATCTGTTTGTGTGACCTTACACAAGTCACTTAACTTCCTTCAACCTCAGGTTTCTTATCTGTAAAATGGGTATAATAACCGTACTACTTGCCAGCCAAGGCTGTTAGGCTGATGAAGTGAGATAATCTTTATGAAGCATTTTGCAAACCAAAAAGTGCTATACAAATGTATTATTATAATTACGCATTGCATATATGTAAGTACTCCCCCCCCTTTTTAATATGGGCATTTAACTTATTGAAGAAGGAATAAAAAGTACATTTGAGTAAGAAATAGAAAAGCAGCCTGAAGAGAGATACATTGCTTTCAGAGGACTAGAGTGAAAATAGCCCCTTTTGTTGGCAAAAGTACTGACTAATGGTTGCAGTGCATTGTTTCCCAGAATCTAATTTACATATGACTGCTTTAAGATATGGAACTTCCCTTCTGTGGAAATGAGTCAGAGAACTCTTTGATAACTATGGGAAAATTGAACATTGACTATTTATGTCACATCTGACAAATGTGGACTTGGTGTTTCTCAACCTAATACAGGGGTGGATAAATATCTAGGAGGGGTCCCTAATTTGTGGCAGGAAAGCTGACTGAGAAGCCACATGAACCTGGGGAATTAGAAGGTAGAAGCCAATGAGATGAACTGTTTACAGAAGTTGAGACATTGCAAGCTAGAAGAAGAATACAGAAGTCAACACATAATAGCCCAGTTGATTCCAGATGACTAATGAGGCACAGACTCTGCTGCTGCTGATATTGGCTGTTGAACTGATGAGGGAGCTCCAACTGATCCTGGAAGATAACTGGAGAAAGGCTCTCTTGGTCTTTAGTACCATCTATACCTGGAAAGTGGGGAAACTCTTTTGAGGTTTGGCTACTTTGCTCTTTATTGCTCTTCAATGGCTAAAGAAGGACAAACTACTCAAAACCAAAGAACAGACTTAAATAGTTTTATAGATACTAGGCTTACAGGAACTGCTTTTCACTGAAAGTCTGTAATGCTGCCTTAGCATTCAGCCAAGGGAGCAGAAATGAAAAGCTTTTCAGATTCCAGGCTTAAGGCTAAAAAGAGAGTAGCAAGGAAGCAGCTTTGTCTATTAGGGGAGTGGAGAGGCTCAGACAAGACAGGATCATAAAGGGAGTAAGGATCTTAAGACCTACAGGCTAGAATTATGAGTTGCTCTAGGCACAAAGATTTATTTCCGTTACCTCCTTCACTGCTAGGTTTCTGTAATTTTATGCCTACTTTCCTCCATGGACTCTATCCATTGCAGGAAAGTATGACACATTTGTGAGCAATTATGGTATTAACATTATTGCTTTGCCTTGCTTAGTAAATGTTTCATGATTAAGAGTTAACAGTGTCATCTTGATTTGTTTAAATAGGAAGTAAACCAGTGGGGGCTCAGGAGGGATACTAGTGAGTAGAAGTATATCTTACCCTATCACCCCTTCCCCAGCAGGATTTCCTCTAGGACCCTGAGGACCAAGTTGTAGCAGCATAGCCGCCCTTTGGGGAAACAACCCTGATCTGCCATCATGGGTGCAGTCATAGCCCAGGAAGAAAGAAGGAAATTGGGGGAAGAGCATCCCTAACTGTGCTTCAGTGGAATGTAAGTGTTATGAGGACAGAAACATTGTACTGTTTATAATTTCTCTCTCTCCCAGACAGAAGCACAGTGGGTTTGTTTTTTTTTTAAACACAGTAGGCTCTTAGTAAACGTTGAAATGGGTTAATAGGAGGAATTGACAGACAAGAATAGAATCCTCTCTCTTGTTTTCCTTATTTTCTTGTGCTCTTGTTTTCATATTTGAATACAAGTACAAAATACAGAATAGTTAAAATAAATGGGCAAGTCATTTAAGCTCTGTTTGCCTTAATCCACTGCAGAAGGAGAAGGTAACCCATTAAAGTGTCTTTGCCAAGAAAACACCGTGGACCGCATGGGTCACAAAGAGTCAGACGGGACTGAAAAACAACAAAATAATTTAAAAGAAAACATTAAAGCATTGTTAAAAGTTTGCTGAATTGAAGGAAAAGTTGAAGTTTATGGGTCCCCCTTCCTCACTGCCACCTAAGCGTAGCACTTAATCAGGATTCAGTACACAAAACTCTTGAGACAGATGGCCCAACTCTACCTCTGACGCATGCGTATCTAATCCCTGGTCACCACCTAGCCTGCTCACGTGCCCACAGCACAGGCGGTCACAGAGGCCACGCCCACCTGTGAAAAGCAATTCCGCATCAATCCTCCTCTCCAGGGCAGCCTGCGGGGGCAGGGGAAGGGGGGAAGAAACCGGAAAAACATACTGCGCATGCCTCAAGAGACTCCCATGCTCCCGCCATCCGCGCACCTTTTTCCGCTCCACGTCCAATCCTTGGAATCCCTGACACCGGAACCGCCCCGCCTCGCGACCGGAAAGGACTGTGCGCGAAGGCGTTGGGGGCGGAAGTGACGAGGAGGGGTGTTAGTGGTGTGGGGTGGTAGTTGGCGGGTGGTTGAGCTGATCCTGTCGCCATGTCCGCGGGGAGTGCGGCGCATCCCGGGGGTGGCGGGTGAGGCCTGCAGGGTGAAGGAGGTGGTGGGCGGGAATGGGAAGGAATGAGGAGAGAGTCGAGGGGCCGGGGTAGCAGAGGGAGGAGATGAAGTGAGGCTTGGCCAGGGCAGCGGAGGTGGAAGGGAACATGAGGAGGGGGCGTGAGGGGAGGAGAGTTGGGGGGGGGTCACTGAGAAGGGGCGGAGGGGAGGCTGAGGCGAGTAGGACAGGGACAAAGCGGGGAGGAGGAGCTTTAGGGAGGTCGCTGGGGGTTGGGGAGCCCGAGGAGAGGGAGGCCGGACGACCAATAGGGGAAAGAGGCGGGGCTGACCGATGGGGAAGGTGACAGGGCTTCTGGGGCGGGGGCAATTAAAGGGGCCCAGATCTGAGAGTGAGAGGGAATAGAGTTGCACATGGATAAGAGCTAAATAAGTTTGTCGAAATTGTCCTTGAAATTTGGGGAATAACAGTAGGTAAGGTGTTAGAACAGGAAGAATAGCAGACTTGAAAATTAGAGCATTTAGAGCTGGTAGAGAGCTTATGAATCATCTCTTTCTGTCCGTTATATTATCTTAGAGATGAGCAGAGAAATGATTTCTGAAGGTCATAGGTCTAATCAGTAGCAAAATCCGATTTTAACATATGTCTTGATGACTACAAATCGATTGCTACGTCCTGCTACCTCACTGAGGGTGGGAGTTTGTTTGACAGCTTAGTGGGACACAATGCTATGTGATTCCTTGAGCTTTACTTTCACGTGACAGACGTGAATAATAACATGCAATTCTTACTTAGTTTGAGGAAAGTGCAAAGCAGGTTGTACAACTACAAACAGCATGGGGTGGCACACACCTGTAGCTTAGGACGCTGAGGCTGGTGGATAACTGGAGTTTTTAGCAGGAGTAGGACTGAAATCAAATGGATGTCTGAGCTAAGTCAGGCATTAATATAATGAGCCCCACAAAGTGTAGGGAGGGCCTAACTGGTAGAAGTGGGGAAAAAATGGGAGTATAGCTTAAAGCTGACATGTAGATCAATATTGGGATCATCCAGTGAATAGCTGCTGTACTTCCACACAAGGTGAGAGGAGACCCAGTCTCAAACAAAATAAACATATATATATATATATATATATATATATATATATATATATATATATATATATATATATATATATATACACACATACACACACACACACACACATACACATGCACGCGCATGCACACATACGTAGAAAGAGAGTGGGTGTATTATTCCAGGTAAGGTTTGAAGTATTAAAGTAGGGCAAGTTATCTGGAGCTGGTAAAGGAGGAATAGGGAGTTGAAATTGTAGAGGTAAAGGAAGGGCAGCTAGGGCTTTCAGAGAGTTGACGTTTTTATCTCATTCCTTAAGGCGCCGAAGTAAATGGGACCAGCCAGCACCAGCCCCACTTCTCTTCCTCCCACCTGCTGCCCCTGGTGGAGAGATTCCCAACAGTGGGGGGAGTCCTGGGGGATCAGCAGCTGCTCCCTCAGGAGCCTTAGATGCAGCAGCTGCTGTGGCAGCAAAAATCAACGCTATGCTGATGGCTAAAGGAAAACTCAAACCAACCCAAAATGCTGTTGAGAAGGTATTTCAGGAGTAGGCTCACCTTTTGATATTTTCTTTTTAGAGGGATATGATAGGAGATTATTTATTGAAGCATTTCTCTAACACTAAATTAGAGGTTAAATAGTTCATTTTAAAATAATATGTTTTAAGATTGATATGTTTAGCCAGTTTCTGAATAAAAGTACATTTCTTAGTGTTGCATAAGCCTAAAAGTTTAATCGACTAATTTACTTAATTTACCTTAAAATTTAATGAAAATTGAAGAATCTCTAGTGTGTGTGTGTGTGTTTGAGAGTGATATGTTGGATACTCTAGGTTTTTTGCTGAAAATTATGTGGAATTGTAGAATCTTCAAAAGAGATGTCAAAGATAATTTAGTTCAACTTTCCACACTTTGAAGCAGTCTCTAATTTTCTGTAGCATCTTTAACACCCCTCCAGCCTATGCTTGAGTACCTTCAGTGATGCAACTTAATACTGCCTGAGGTGGCCCTCTAATTGTTTGTAAGCTTTTTCATATGTTAAAATGAAATCTTTCTCCTAGTAATTTCTCCTGTGTTATAATAGTAAGGAACAAGTGTTTGGAAAAAGTATCTCCAAGTAGCTCTACAAGCATTAATTTATTAAGTGTTTACTATGTGCCAGACACTGCTGAGCCCCAAGCAAAAAGAAAAGAATACTTGCCCTAAAGGAGCCCACCTTCTAATTGAGGGAAGATCACACACAAAAGGGAGTTGAAAAGGATTAGGGAAGCAAGTTTCCCTAATGGTGGTGAAGTCCAGAGAGTCAAAAGCAGAGCCAGGAAAGGAATGGAGGATGGCTGGCCTGGTCCCTGGAGGAACTCATCAGTGGGAGAAGGGGGACCAGGGGAATGTTCTAGAGTGAGAAGGTAGTTGAATCACGATAGCGAAGTCTAGAAAGTTAGAAGTTTCAGATTATTAGAATCAGAATGACTGCTTGAACATTCAGTTTCTGTGAAGTTAATGGGAATTCCCAGTAAAGTAGAAGTAAATAATTTTTTCCCTCAGTATTTCAGCACGTGTATTATAAACAATTGTCCGTTTCTTGTGGTAGTGGTAGGGGCAAAGAACTAAGTGCATACTGATGCAGAATAATCCTGGAAGTAAATGTTGGCTTCTTGGGCCCCACATTTTTCCATGGACATATATTTCTGAAATTATAATGGAACTCATTTAGAAAATATGACTATATGGTACTGTATCCACGTTTTTGCTTTACACAGAAATTTTGTAGACTCTACCCATTGTACAAAATAATGTCAGATTTTATTTTCCCTGAACCACAAACCTACTGGACATTGGTGAGAGGCATCCAGAAGTGTGATAGAGGTACTCCAGGATTAAAAAGTCACGGCAAACATGTATAGCCTATATCAAATTGTTTGCCATGGAGGGGAGGGATAGGGGGGAGAGAATTTGGAGCTCGAAATTTTTTAAAAAGAATGTTAAAAATTGTTTTTACGTGTACTTGGAAAAAATACATTTTTTTAAAAATCATGACATGTAATTAGAAACTGATAGTACTTTCAGGTTTGGGGGGTTTTTTTGTTTTTAAAATTTTGGAGGCAGTGGGGGTTAAGTGACTCACCCAGGGTCACACAGCTAGCTAGTAAGTGTCTGAGGCTGGATTTGAACTCAGGTCCTCCAGACTCCAGGGCCAGTGTTCTATCTACTGCGCCACCTACTTGCCCCTTAGTACTTTCAGTTTTAAGAAAAATGAACTAGGGTTTTTTACTTTGTGTAATTTTTGCTGCACATTGTGTGCTTCATTAAGGTTGCTGAAAGCAACCTTTTGAGGTATTGATAAAATAAAGCTAGGCAGATTTGAGGTTCTGTGGCTGTGAGATTTGGGATAAAGATCTGATCTGAGGAGTATCATGTAGTGGATTCTCCCATATGTTTTACTACATGCTTACTTGAATGAATTAGGCTGCAAACCATCATAATTCATTCCTCTCACATTCTTTGGTGGGAATAATTAATAGCACTGTTGTAGTGACAAATCCGTACACACATGCTAAGATTAAAAGCAGTTTGGCAGAGACCTCAAAATGATGTCTTGCCCTCCTTTGGTTTTCTGTGGGAAGCATGTGTAATATAAAAACCATGTCAAGAGATCAAAGATGTAGTCACTGCTTTGCCACAAATAATAACTGACATTTTAATTAAGGTAAATAAATCATTTTACATACCTCATATCCTCACAGCACCATTTTAAGGTAGTAGATATAACAACTGTATGTGTTTTTTTTATAACAGATAAGAAAACTGTGGCCTAAAGAGGCTAAGTGACATGCCCATGGTTACGTAGCTACATTAGAGGCAGAGTGCTGTATCTAGTTCCAGAACTTTTTACACTATATTTCGTTAACCATTTTACCTTGAGCAAATTACTTCACATTACTGTGTTTCCCTATCTGTAAAATGAAGGGGTTAGGCTAGATGATATCCAAGATCTCTTTTATCTCCAGTAATCCATTTTTCTACTTTGTTCAAGGAAAACTCACGTGTATGGACAAATTCTTTGAGGGTGGCAGTGGGTTTTTTTTTTTACTTTGTGTCCCCACTGCCTTAGACATAGTAGGTACTTAATAAATATTTGGTCATTTTAATTGAATGAGGTGACTTAGAGATGGAGGAATAGGAAAAAGGTTTGGGGAACAAGGAGAGGCCAATGAATTATGATTTTATTATTCTGTCTGCTTTTGTTCTGATTTCTTTCTCTGTTTGTAGCTTCAGGTCCCAGGCAAAGGCCTGGTTAGCAGTAAAAGCAAAGATGACTTGGTGGTAGCTGAAGTGGAAATCAATGATGTCCCCCTTACATGCAGGAACTTATTGACACGAGGACAGACTCAGGATGAGGTGTGTATGGAATTGATCTCTGCTTTTGGAATGGTAGTACATAGAGGCATTTTAGAAAAGAAAAGACTTTTTAAAACACATGAAAAGATCTAGACATTTGCTGTCTAGCTAAGGGATTATTATTCTGGTCTCCAAAGTCAAGACTCAGTGTATGTTAAGAAAAGTATACATTTGAAGTTTAGAACTCAGCAGCATTGTGAGAATGCAAAAGGTAATGAAGTCAGGGAAATGGAACTTCTTAAATCAGGGGAGAGACCCTATTTGCACTTGAGATAATTGACATTTTACCGGGGTGGAGCTTTAAGGCAATAATTATGGGCTCTTTGGCTCCTGATTTGTGATCCACATACAGGTGAAGCATCTAGATAATGGAGACACAGTTAAATGTCAATTTTGCAGAATTGAAACATGAA